GCATCCTAGCATTATTTATTTTAATCTGTACTCGTCTAAAGAGTCTTAAATAATAAAGATGCATCCTGGAAAGAAGATCCACGGGTTTGCAGAACATTAGCATTTGCATTTTAATAAGAAAATTAACTTTACGAAGAGAAAATGAAGTGTGACGAGTACAGAACCTTGTGGCACTCCGCTAGGTAGGCAGACACATGTGAACCCTGACGTTAATGACTCCTGACATATATTTTGGTAATTTTACGATCACATAATGCACTTTTAATCCTTATGTAAACCTATTTGAATTACTATGTGGTCTGTAACCAGCTAAATTATGTCTCCGCGAGCCTTTTTTCTGGTTAAATAAAGATTTTTTAAAAAGTGCTCCTCTGACCTTCACATACTGAGTCCTACCTGAGAGATAATCGCTAAACCAGGACTCGTCATTAAGCGACCTTTAGGAATATCCATCTGTTTTCTCCTTCACAGATGGCATTCTGTTGCAGCTGCACGGAGTTTTTATCTCGACACGACAAACTCAACTGAAATACGAGCTACGACGTTTCGGCCAAGAGCGTCTGATTAGAATATGAGTGTTTTCACAGGCTCAACAGAAATCGCATTAACTCGGAGCCGTAATTATTGGTGGCCACGGCTTACAACAGTTATTATCGCATGGCAGTCTTCAGCCTTGCGAGGCTTATCATGTTTTTGCTGTTTTTCCCTCTCCGACTGATTGAATTCGGGCCTTCTCTCTCTCTCTCTCTCCTCTCACCGCGTCTCACAGAACGCCTTCAAACTCAGCAGCTTTTTCAAATTTGGGGCTTGCGACACTCAGCCAAAAGCCGCAAATTACCCCCCTCTAGCAGCAGCGAATTAGGAACAATTTTGTGTTAGCTATAAAAAAAAAAAAAAGAGAGAGCCGAGCGAGAGAAGTGAGGGGAAAATATAGCTTACACCAGGGACCACCAACGGAGGCAGCTACGGGATGAACGGGCTGGTCGGCTGACGGTTTGGGTGGCAGGGCGGCGCTGGAAAGCAGTGATCTTCAAGAGCAATCAATCCCGTCGTATCGCATCTACGTAGCACGGCACAACATCCATTACCAAACACAAAGGCCCGAATTAGTGGATTTATGTTGCTGTTACAGGATGTTTGCAGGCCTGTGAATTGGCTTTACAGTTCCCTGAGCACACAGAGACCTGCAGCGGTGATTAAAAACAGCAAAGCCCGTCCTCCTCCTCCTCCTCCTCCGACGACGACGACTACGACCACGCTGACAGCACCTTACAGCGTCGGTGACACCGGAGGGGGAAAAGCACTCGTATGAGGTGACAACTCGCCGCCTGGAATTTTCATTCTCTCTTTCGAAGAGGGTGGGATTTTTTATATTTTTTTGATTTCCCTCCACTCTGCGGTTGGTCCTTAACTCTGAGCATTAAAAAAAAAGGGTCTTTTTCTTGTTTCTTACAAAGCGTGAGGTTTGGCATGCCCACTTAATCTGCTTCCCTTGAGCCAATCCATGTTTTTCCCATTCTGGCACCCTTTTAAAATCCATTTCCAAGTTGTAATATGCCACTGCAGACGTTATTGAGGGGGGGAGAAGAAATGTAATGGGGGGAGAGAGGAGAGGTAGCAGACAGGCTGTGAGGGAGGTTTCCAGCTATTAACCGGCTGGTTTTCATACCCTGGTGTGGAAGGCAGACCACTTTGTCTTCCTCGGAGATCAGACGGAGCGGGGCGACCGCGGCCACGTCGGGGTTAGTGACTCTCATTAGGCCTCGCGCCGACCGCCGTGCGAGGCCTCGGACGGCGTAACGAGAGCCTGACCCGGCTCTGACACATCCAGGCCCAGATGTTAATTGTACTTCCTGCTCCCTCCTCCTTTCTGATTAAATGACACAGAGGTTTAAGCCTTTGTTTGTCTGGCTAATGGCTCTCATTTAGCGCTGTAAGTGGTTTAGGGGGCTGCCGTGGGTGACGTCACGCTGGCTTTGATCTCGGGCCTGGCCGAGGCGGTTTCGGCTTCTACCTGCAGCGTCGCCGTGATGCCGAGGAGGACGCCAGCTGGGGGGGCAACAAGTGAGGAGCAGATAAAATAAAATCTTCCTCCTCGTGGTCTGAGGGTAAAAATAGAAGAAGTTTAGCATAGTTTGGAAATCATCATATTCTTCTCCTCTGGCGTCATCACATCATGTTTGTTTTTCCTTCCTTCTACCTTTCCCCCCCTCCACCACTCCTCTCTTTTTCATCTTGATTTTATTGTCCTTCCTCCTCCTCCTCCTCCTCCTCCTCCTCCTCACCCCCAGCTGTAGATCTCCCCCCTCCGCCTCCCCTCCTCTCTATTTTCTCCCACTCCCTGCGAGCGCGTGGCTGAGGTGTGAGATCATTCTCCTTCTGGGTGGCTTTCCTGCTATATGTCACTGTCATCTGCTGGCACTGCGGCTCGAGGGGGGGTCCCTTTTCCAAAAACACACCGCACTCCGCTTCGCCACCCCGAGCATAATAAATTCTTGGGCACGAGACCGGAGAGGGGTGTACCGGCGGCGGCGGCGGCGGAGAGAGAGAAAGTTTTACTGGGCTTGGCAGGGTAACACATAGGCCGGTGAGAGAAACACAGGAGGAGGAGGAGGAGGAGGAGGAGAGGCAGCAGCAAAGAGAAGGGTGGAAGATTTATAATTGAATAACTCCCCGAAGCAGGGCAGCGGGGATCGGCCCTGCCAGGAAAAGCAAACGCCAAGGAGCGAGCGAGCGAGGCCCGTGGAAGTCAGCCATTAAAGTGAGAGGAGAAGAAAACCTCATCTGCCTCGGTAGAAAGGTGTGAGATTTACTAATGATAACTGAAAAACCACAGCAGCCCCTCTTCTGTCTGACCGGAGCTCCACCAAGAGTTTGTGTTTCAATGCACCCTTGGGCAACAACAAACCACCCAAAAAACAAGGGGTGGTTTTGATTTAGTGACCCGACATCCATTTAGAAGAATAAAAACTCAAACGGCGAGCCCTTACACTTGCTCAACACGCTGTTACATGGCAGAAGCCACCGGCCCGCTCCGGGACCGTCCTCAACCCGTGATTTGTAGGCAGGCCACAGAACTCTTATTAAAAAAACAGCACGGTACGAGACAGGAAAAACATCTGAGGGGAATTTATTTCAAATTACGCATTTCAAACAACACAGTCACATTGTTGTTCCTGGTCCTGTCCTGGCTGAACTTAGGAGGCCCGTCCCAGAATGCACCGCTCTCTCTCCCCCAGTGGAAGCAGCGAGGCGGGCCGATGAGTTTATCTTGCCTGTTTGGTTTGGCGTTGGCGAGCGGAGAATGAAAGCCTGGTACGGCAGCACCGTCAGGCCTGAACGGAGCTCCGACTGAACCCGCTCCCAGAGAACCCTCCGGAGGGCCGATAGCAGCCCAGATAACTGGACCCACGCACCGCTGACACGCCGTCACATAAACGTCCATCCGTCACGTCCACTCAGGCCGTGAATCATCTTTAATGTGACGCTGATTCAGGTCCTCTGCGGCGACACGTTGGGCGTGAAACCGGATCCGCTTGTTGCAGACGCTGAGCGACTTTGCAGACGACATTAAATTGTAAAAGGATGAAAAAAAAGAAGCTGAAAACAGGAAAATCTGGCTGCTAATGATTAAGAAAGAGGCTTTCACTTGAACTACAAGTGAAGATTTAATAAACCCTGTCACACTTAATGACGCATAAAAAGAGGGGAAAAAAATGGGAAAGTAAAAAGACTTTAAGCGGCGCGTTGGCAACTTTTACCTCCTTCAGGATGGAAAACTGATGTGCAGCTACACACACATGAGCCCGGGGTGTCTGGCTTGCTTATTTTATCAGGTGCACTGGCTACTCTCCCCCCGACCAACCCACCAGAGTGACCCTGACTCCCCTCCCCGGCTGCCAATCAGGCTCCTCCACAGCTTTTCCTTCTTAAAGCTCATTACATGGAAAAGATTTCTTCTTCTGGTGTTTTTTTCTTCTTCTTTTAACCATCCCTGTGCTCCTGAGTGTGTGTGCAGGTGACCTACAGGTGCATGCAAGACCTGTTTCTGCAAATTCAGCTCAGGCTAAATGAAAACTGCACCTTCATCCGTGTGTTTTCCAATCAGATAAGATCTAATAGCTGCTGCTGATATGAATCTTGATCAACCACAGCTCCTGCCACTCTGTTTAAGATTAGCAGTGCAAATATTAGACATTTGCTTCAGAGGAGGAGGAACAAAAAAAGAAAAGAAAAGGGGAAACCTCACTACAAATTGAATTAAATTCCAGCATACAAAACTGGGCTGAGTGTGTAAAAAAATTTTCCTTGAATGAAGCAAAGAAGAAGAAAAAAAAGAAAAGGGGGCAAGACACTCGGCGAGCTCTTCATTCAGAAGTGCTTCACAGCAAAGCCCATCAGGTAACAATCTTTTTATTTGTCTCAGTCCCTCACTGGGTGCCAAAGCCTGCTGAAGGACTAGAGCGTGCGGTGTGATCCATCAGCCCCGTCCAAGAGCTCCAGCGTGGTAATCCATCTAAACCAGACCCAGAATAGAATTAAATAAATACTTCCATGCTCCGAGAGCTAGAATTATTTTACTACTGTCATTCTCAGTAGAGAGCAGCGCCGCGTGGATTTAAGCGAGAAAGAAAGGAGGAATAAATGTGATGCTCTGAAGAGGCAGAAAGATATTTATTTGCTGATTTGTTTTTATTCTGTGTGTGTTTGAATTTTACTATGAATTTAGATTATGTTTGATTTTTAGATTCAGATTTTAAATATAAGTTGTAGAGAGGGGCTTGGAAATTTAAATAAAATGATAATTTATAAGCAGCAGATATTTGCTTTTATACATCCTGAGGCCTTTGTGTTGGAGGATTTCTTCTACAACATTTATTTTTATTTAGCTGCTATTTATATAAATTACCTTTAAAATAAAATCATTATGTGGAGCTCAACTTTTTAGGATTTTATTTTTGGTTTCTTCTGCCTCCAAATAAAAAAAACATCACAGGAATTAACCAACATATTTTAAACTGAACCTCATCTATAATAAAATGAATTAATGGATTTTTTATTTTTTTTTAAAGGAGGCCTTTTCTGCGGCTGCGTGATTATTTTGACGTGAAAATGTGTGGGACAGATTTCCTCGCGGGAACAAGATGTTTGCGTGTGGCCCTGCTGCGAAATAAGGCAATTATAGGCATGTATGTATTTTCTGGGTTATAGCTATGAAACACACACACACACACACACACACACACACACACACACACACTTTATCACACACACACACACACACACACACACACTTAAAAAGCTTTTGCATTAAGAGCTAAACGACCCCCTTAAATGTCCGATAATGGAACCCCCTTCATATGCATCCTGCGTTATTTTCTAACACATTATTTTACGCGTCAACCAACCAACACTGATTCTGACCTCCACGACTTTTCCAGCGTGATGCATAATGTTGCTTTTTCTAGTCACCTTTTTTCGTTTCTAAAAACGGTTTCAAACAACTGAGAAAACATTTTAGTGACTCCAAATTACGAGAATCTAATTTTTTTTTAAGTGTAATCTTTGCTTTGGTTTTTATTTTATCAGATATTTTACGCAGCAGAGGAGCTCATCGTTCCAGGGAGCTACTGCAGGCCTCAGAGGCAGTTTAGTCTTCGCCATTTAAAAAAACAAAACAAATCTTTGGCTGCTTCTTTCATAGTTCAGCATCAATCCAACACGTGTGAACACGTGAATGAAGATTATTTTTGGCACTATTGTGGGGTTTGTTGAGGCCTCATATTAATTCAGCACAGAAATCCAGAAGTGAAAATGGAACACAAGCTAGCATCTGACAAAAAAAAAAAAAAAAAAAAAAAGAAAAACAAAGACTTTCTGCAGCTTTAACAGTATTTACGGTATTTTCTTGATCGTCCATAAACTGATCAAAAAGCTTCACATCCCCACATGGATCTGTGTCAAATACAAATAAGGCAGGGTTTAAATATTCAGTTTTATTTCTTTCCAGAAAAAAAGTAAAGGAAACTCGTCATTTAAATATTAAAACAAAAGATGATAATTCAGGATCAAATAAAAAAGGCGTCTGTTGGAAGTTTTTTTTTTGTTTGTTTTGTTTTTTTGCCATAAAAAAGGGGAAAGAGGGAGAGTTCCTGTATCTACAACATTCTTTAAAAACAGATCCATTTGTCACTGCTGGGAGCTTCTGGTTAAAATGTCTCTGTTACCTGAGAAAACACGAGTTCAAAGTCCGCTTTCTTTCTGATTATTCATTGTTGGTGTGGATGCGTTTGGCGAGCTCCGCGGTGCCACGCTGAGTCTGTAGTTTCTGGTACTCCTGGTGTAAACTGAGGAAGTGCGGAGACGCCGCCGGGTGGAAGAGCGCAGGGGAGGCGTAGGCAGCGCTGGAGGTCAGGGGAGAGGAGTACGCGGTGCACTGGGCCGGGGAGAAGGCGTCCATGCCCGGCTGCGACTGGAGGAAAGCTTTGGCTGTGAGTGCGCTGCGGGAGAAGAAGCTGGACAGAGCCGGTAGGATGCTGCTGACAGGTGGGATGGTGGCCGGGCCGCACGGCGAGGGCGCGTGGTGATGGAGGTAGGGGTAAATCTCCAGGCTGGGCAGCTGCAGAGCCGCCGTGCCGAGCCCGTAGGCGGCGTGCGGGAAGCCGTGCAGCCCGCTGGGCTCCAGGTGCTGCTCCTTCAGCGGGTCGAAGCGAAAATGCTGCCGCTTGAAGCGCTTCCTCCGCCGCAAGAAGCTCCCGTTCTCAAACATATCGGAGGAGTTGGGATCCAGCGTCCAGTAGTTGCCCTTCCCGGGGTTTCCAGGCTCTCTGGGCATCTTTACAAAACAGTCATTAAGCGACAGATTGTGTCGGATGGAGTTCTGCCAGGCGGGGAACTTCTCCCGGTAATAGACGAAGCGGTGGCTGATAAAGTCACAGATCTCGCTGAGAGTGAGCCGTTTCTTGGGGCTCTGCAGTATGGCCATCGTTATCAGAGCGATGTACGAGTACGGAGGCTTCACGGACGCGGGACCTTTGCTTTTAGCAGGAGGACACGTCGGTCCGGGGCTGTACGTGTCCCGCTCTTTGCTCTGGCTGCTGGAAGTCTCCGTCTCCTGCTCGCTCCGCGACTCATCCAAAGGTAAGAGCTGCTCCTCTCCGCTGTCTTTAAGTCCTTCCCCCACCACGTCGATAACAATATCCTCCATGATTTCCAAACCTAATGTCATAGTAGATGTCCGCGGGTGAAGCCAACACCACCTGGCAACAGGTGGGACACTGACAGCTCTTCTGTTAAACGCGACGAACAGATCTTTACGCACGGCCCATCTCCATTCACACACAAAAAAAGTAAAACTCCGAGCGCAGTCCTGCTTCTACTTCTCACAACGCAAACTCTCCAAACCGCAAAGCATCAGCGCGGATATCCTTTATTTTGGTGCCTTTAGGCGCAAACAGCGGTCGGCGAGTGATCGTGCGTAAAGCGTAAAAGTGCGTGCGCCCTCGGAGATGTCCAGCATCATCTGTAATCTCTGTTGCTTTCCTGCGGCTCGGGTGGATGTGATGTCACGGTGAGGCACGAGGAAAAGGATCCTGACCAATGAAAACGTCGCAAAGGGTGCCATAGCGAGAAGGCCTCAACCACACGGCGCACTCTCATCAGCAGCATCAGTGCCAGGTCGACGCGGACATCAGAGGTCCATTCACGAAAATCAGAACCGACTATTGGGAGGGGGGGGCCAACCCGGTTCTCTCAGAGGGTTCATTTCCAAGTGGCGTTAAAAAGGTTGTAAAATTACGAATTTAAAAAAGTACCAAGAGGTTAGTTTGCGTCAAAATCATTTCACAATCATTTTTGAAATATGCGCTCAGCGACGTTTGTGCAGTTTTTCCTGAGCCAAAACTTATCGTTAATATTTTTTATTTACCAGCGATGTTCACTTTTTTCAAGCTCTTGTAATCAATCCTAAATTAAAATCTAAAGAAAATGATATAAAATCAATCATTTATTGAAATAACTCTCTTTCTGTTTTACATCAGCCGTAAAGCAGGAGAATCTCTTTATGAAGCAGCAAACACAGAGGAGGTCACGTAAATGTGCAGCGCTGACAGAAGCTGGTTATAAAATAAAATTAAAACACACAGTTGATGTTGGAAGATGCTGCCTGACGCTTTGGGGACAATCAGATCACCATCCTGAGTTGACAGAGCGAGGGGGGAAAATCCCAAAACACTTCTCTACGTGAGGCAGAGACTTAAGTCTTAATCCTCCTCGAAGACTCCCGCAGCCGCACTCTCTGCGCACACTTGACTCACAATTACACGTTTTCAGACGCGCAACACAGGATAAAACTGGAATGACTGATTTTGTGCTGCTGTGAAAATAATAATTTGTTGCCTGCTGTGCTTGATGTCCTCACTGGAAAGAAGTGATAAGAGGAGACTCTGGGCCTTTTTTTTTAAGTCAAACTTCTCCAAGAGACACGTTGATAAATATCACCATGTGTGAAATGGAGAAAGAAATAATATTTGATCTGCAGTCTGCATAACCTGTGGCAGAAACTTTACACCCTCTGTTCTCCATTTGAGCACAAACCTATCAAAGTCCGGCATAACCCCGTCAGATTATCTGCTTTAATAATGGGCAACCCAGAGCAGGACGCTGATATTGGGATGAAAGTAATAGATTTTCACTTGCGCGGACATGAAAGAGAAGCGAGGAGAGGAGGGCGCTTTTGGTATTGTTGGGAGGCCTCTGGTTGTTTGTGTTTAATGATGGAGCCCTTTGTTGGGGATTCCCACATTTCCTGCCTCTAATCGTATTGATACCTCGGGGCAGAGGGGGGACTGCATGGGTCCGGACTGGGTGGGCTATATGGTACCAGCAAAGCTGCAGATGATTTCCCAAATTCATCACGCATGTCTTCAGATTGGAAACAGGTCCGCGCGCGTTGTGTGGTTTCAATAAGGCGAGAGCAGGAGCGTCAAATCACCAGAAAAACTGAAGGTATGGCACCGAGGATCTAAGCTTCCCAAACTGTTTTTTTTTTTTACGCGCTGGAGTCATTTGTTGGGGACCAGTGATGGACGGGACAGATGTGCCAAAGTGTCCTGTGCGCAATTTACAAAATACGACCTGCAGTTTTTTTCTCTCTCTCTCTTTTATTTCTGGTGATTTTTATAGGAACCATGCCATCATTTAAGCTACGCAACATTAAATTTCGGGCTCACTCTGTGGGGCTTTTTTTTTCTTCTTTTCTTTTTTTAATAAAACAGCAAAATGTGGAACCGCTCAAGAAATCAACAATGCTTTCTTTTTTTTTTTTTTTTTTATCCATTACGCGCACATTTGAACAAAAAAACAAACCGTCTATCTAACAAAACCGGCCATTGTACGGATCTTATTTGCTCAGATGAGTAAGTGGGAAAAGCGAGCAGCCACCAAGGACTCGCAGTAATAACATCATTTGGCAGGAACCGGCTCGGCCTGTGGGGGGATCTCGCCGGAGGATCATTGTGGATAAATGAGCGCTTCATACGTGCAGGTCAGGAACCGGGTTAGATGAAGCTGTAACGGGGGCTACTTCAGTTAAAATGTTTTCTTATCTCTGTGAAAACTCCGAGGCCTCCGTGATTCTGGGAGTGATAAAGAAAAAAAAAAAGAGAAGAAGAAGAAGGAAAAAAAGCGCACTCCAGAGCGTGTTTTTCATTGGGAGAGGTTGAAACAGCTTCAAAGAGCGGAGGTTGTTTTCGCACAATGCCCCCTCTCTCCCTCTTTCTCTCTCTCATCTTGATTCCCTTAAAACTCTTGGCAGGGCAGCGGACATTAATAGAACGTGTAATTTAAGGTATCATGAATCATAACTGCATGAAGTAAAAAGTCAGAGGTGCTGAGCCAGACGCGCACAAACGCGCGCAGACGCACAAACACACACACACACACACACACACACACACACACACACACACGGTGCAGGGGAGGATGCAAAGTGTAAATTTCACGAGCCGAACTGGTCATTAACACAGTATTTATGAGCTGACAAACGGCTCCGGAGCAGGAGAAAGTGATGCAGCGCGCCGGCTCTCTGCAGCTCATCATCCCCATTGTGCTCGTGTCTCTCCGCTCCGCTCATTACTGTTGTTTGTCTGGATCCATTTACGAGGGATGACACATCTTCAGATCCCATCAATCACAGGGGACGACCCGACGCGGCGCTCCCTGCTGCGTGGCGACATCTTGTGGTGCGAAGAGGAGCTCGGTGGGAGGAACTCTTGTGATGTGAATTTGAATAATGCTCAACTCAAGAGTTTTCAATCTGAAGATTCTTCTTTTGTTGTAGTTTGAAGAAAACATCCAGGACGGAAACTTGCTGTGTGTTAAATTAAAATCACAGTTTTCATGGTATTCAGCGGTCGCTTACTAATCCAACACAGTCACTGGATGCAGCCCAGCGCCTAAAGTCAGCACCTCCAAGTCTGAGGCGGCAGCTCTCTGCCAGAAACCAGCAGATCGCTCCCCCTGGGTTGGGGGTGATTTGCGGCCTCGAGCGAACAAGTTTAAGTATCTCTGTATTTTGTTCACGAACGCTCATAAACTACGGGACGGACGGTTCGCTGCAGCGTCAGCACTAATGCAGGTTGTTTCACCAAACTGTCCCGGTAAGGACGGAGCCCAGCTGGAAGTTCTAGATGTTTCAGTCACCTGTGGTCGAGACAGAATCTGAGTAGAGACAGAATATATTGATACTGTGGTTCCCTCTGTGGAGCTCAGGTGAGGAGCTCAGACAGTGACAGGAGTTGATGCTGCTTCAAGTTAAAGGGAACCAGCTCAGGTGGTTTAGGAATCTGATGGAGGTTTTTCTGGCAACTAGGAGGAGACCGAGTTGGTAGACCCAGAACTTTCTGGAGGGATTCCACATCTCATCTGGCCTGGGAACAAGGAGAGGGACGTCTGGAATGATCTGCTTAGCTGCTACCACCCAACCGAACCCAGGATAAGAGGGATTAAATGGATGGATGGACGGAGCGCAGCCTCACTCATCATGACTATAACAAAATATCTTAATTTTATTGAACTTCTTTTTTCAAAGTTCAGCTACCTAAATTCAATTTGTTTCACGTTTTCAAAACTGAAGAAGACTTTGAACCAATCATTCCACTACCTGAGCTGAAGTCTAATTTGATCAAACCTGGTGGAGGAAGGAATGATTATTTATTTTAGATTTAATAATAACAATTAGATCATATGTTGGTGAAGACGTGGACCATTTAGGTCAAACACATTAATGGAGAATGTGCTCTTCTTCTGTGGTGTTCAAAGAAAGTGTGACAACAAAACCTAATTGTTGTCACAATAAGCCAAGTTTCTGACATCCTGTCTGATAGACTGCAGCCAATAAGATGTTATGAAGTCATATTGCATCAGTTTTTAGCACCAGGAGCTTTCTCTGTATGAGCTGCATTCATTCGTCGCTTGTGGTCGACATCTGTTGAACTTTTCATTTTGTTTTCATTCAAAATAACAACATGAAGAATATTTCACTCATAAATGTCATGTTTACTGAAACTGCTGCACAGAGGTTGCAAATGTTGGACTATTTTGAGAGCACACATCTAATATTAGCTTCCTCGGCCTTAATTATCAATAAATATATTTGGTTTCTGTTTCTGTTTTTGATGCTGCCATCACACTAAAACAATCGTGGAACTCTCGGGTGATGCACGTTCTTCGATTGCCGGTGGAAGTTCAGTTAAAAACGGAGTCCGTAGTTCTGGGCTGCTGATGTTTAGCTTGTTACCATGTCAGTTAGCATGTGTCAGATTCTCCCCGTCATGTTCACGAGGACAAACGTGATCGAGTGCCAACGTGCACACGACACACTGCAGCAGTGTTGTGTGTTTGTTTCCGATTTACAGACGCAGAACAAACAGCTGAGGAATCACTGACTCCACCTTTAAGTCACTTTTTTAAAGCAGCAACTGGATTCTAGCCTCTATATTTTGGTTTACCTTATAAAGGGACAACTGACAACTCCATATATTGCGCCAGACTCTGTGTAAAAGTGGCTTTAATTAATATCTTTCAAGGTAATTATGGCTGGCTTGATGTTTTGTACCTAAAAGGATACGATGAACTCACTTTATCACACGACTCTGCTCACGTTTCTGAAGTGTTTTAACAATATCCAGTTGATCAGAGGTGTTGTGATTCATTCTCACTACTTTAACAAAGTTTTTTTTGTTTGTTTTTGGGGCAGGCAGCAGTGAAAAAGCTCTAAAAATGTCCCTATGCATCCTGCTCAGCACCTGGTAATGTAAAACTTAGACTCACACTGATGCAGATGTATTTAAATTTCTAGTGCAGGTTTGCATTTGATAAATTTATGCAGCTTTAATAAAGATATGAATTTAAATATTTCCCTCAAAGTCAGCATCATGTAAAAACTAATCGAGTAAACGTGCAAATTTAGTGACTATTGATGAAAATAGCCAGCTAGGATGTTTTGTTCCTAA